GAACTTGTCAAACGCATACACCACAGCGAGGAGCTCCTTCTCTGTGGTGGTGTAATTCTCCTATGCATCGTTCAAGGTCTTCGACGCGTAGTAAATGGGCTAGAAGTGTTTCTCGCGTCTCTGACCCAGAACTGCTCCGACTGCATAGTCACTCGCATCGCACATCAGCTCAAAAGGGAGAGACCAGTCAGGAGTCACCATGATAGGTGCATGGGTAAGCTTCTCCTTCAGAGTCTCAAATGCAGCTGTGCACTCGGGAGTGAACTGGAATGGCGCATCCTTCTCCAGCAGCTTGGTCAAAGGCAGGGCAATCTTCGAGAAATCTTTGATGAAGCGCGAATCCCCTTCACAGAGACGGGAGGAGGTAGCTGACTGATCGTCTCAATCTTCGCGCGATCTACCTCAATCCCCTGCTTGGAGATCTTGTGCCCGAGCACAATACCTTCACGAACCATAAAATGGCACTTCTCCCAGCTGAGTGCCAGATTAGTCTCATCGCACCTCTTCAGGACGAGTTCCAGGTTATGGAGACAGTGAGTGAAAGAGTCTCCATATACCGAGAAATCATCCATGAAGACTTCCATGATTTCTCCAACTAGTCGGTCGAAGATCGCCAGCATGCATCTCTGGAAGGTCGCCGGTGCATTACACAGCCCAAATGGAATCCTCCGGTAAGCAAAAGTGCCGAAGGGGCAAGTGAATGTGGTCTTCGCCCGATCCTCCGGTGCAATAGGAATCTGGAAGTAACCAGACATGCCATCCAGGAAGCAATAGAACTCATGGCCAGCCAACCTCTCCAGCATCTGATCAATGAAAGGTAGGGGAAATGATCTTTCCTGGTGGCGTCATGCAGGCACCGGTAATCGATGCAGACTCTCCAACCGGTCACGGTCCGCATCGGGATCAACTCCTTCTTCTCATTGAGGCGGAGCCTGTGCGCCCGCATAGCTTGGAACGTCTCCCGCAAATCTTCCAGGTGGTCTTCACGCCTTCGAATTTTGACTATCAAATCGTCCACGTAGGCTTTCACGTTTCGGCCAATTTGCTGACGGAAGACGCTGTTGACCGTCCTTTGATAAGTGGTGCCCGCGTTTTTGAGCCCAAACGCCATGACCTGATAGCAAAAGTTTCCGAAGGGCGTCATGAAGGTTGTCTTAGATCGGTCTTCTTCTGCCATGGGGATCTGATGGTACCCCGAGAACATGTCCACGAAGCTCAGCATTTCATGATACGCCGTGGAATCCACCAGCTGGTCTATCCGGGGCATCGGATAGGCGTCCGATGGACACGCTCTGTTGAGGCTCGTGTAATCCACGCACATTCTCCAATCTCCTGACGGTTTCGTCACGAAGACCACATTCGATAGCCAAGTAACATAAGAGGTTTCCTCAACCAAATTGGCGCCCATGAGCTTATCCACCTCAACCCTGAGTGCCGCCTCCTTCTCCGGCGATAGGTTCCTCCGCTTCTGCTGCACGAGGCGTCTACCCTCTTCGACCGCTAACCTGTGCACGGCCGTTTCGGGGGTGACGTCCGGCATTTCTAACGCACTCCAGGCAAAAAGTTCCGCGAACTCCCTCAGAAGGGCGATGATGCGCTCTTTCATCTCGTCGGGCGCCTCTGCCGATATTCTCACCTACCTCTCTGGGCGTCCTTCATCCAGCGACATCATAAGCTCTCTGTCGGCAGCTTCGGCTCGGGGCACCTCTTCTGCCGCGGTTTCCATTACATTGACCCTTGCCTCGGAAGACCTCCGCTTCCGTCCCGTTTCCTTTGCATACCGCGGGGCGCCTCGCCCTTGGGCTACTCCTACTCCTTGCGGAGCGATGAACTTTAAGGTTTGATGACATGTAGAAGCCACCCCATTGAATAAGGCCAGGAGGGGTCTTCCCAAGATAGCGTTGTACGGTGACGGGCAGTCAACTATCCCGAAATCAATGGCACGCGTCACCCTTTGCTCCCCATCTCCCAAGGTGACCGGCAGGCGTACTCGCCCTATCACTCTTGCGGGCGCCCCTGAAAAGCCAACCAACACCGACTCCGATGGTCTGATAAGCTCCAGCAATAATTGCATGCGAACTACTGTATCCTTGAACAACACGTCCATCGAACTTCCCGTGTCGACGAGCATCCTTCTAACCTGGCACCCCGCCACCACTCCTTGTATTTCTAGGGCGTCCATCGAAGGGAGCATGCACGCTTCCTCTGGCGCCCTGTTGAAGCTGATATCGATTGCCTCCTGCACGTCTGCCGATGCCACTCTCATGCGCCGATTTGCCTCTATCTTTTCCCTCAAGTCCATCGTTCCCGAAATAGCTTCGATGGTCAGGCGCACCCGCTCGGGCGCATTTTCTTGGTCAAGGTCATAGGGCGGGGGTGGTAGCTCTTCCCTCACCTTTTCCATACCGGCCACGCACGCACGGTGCACTCTCTCCTCGGGCTTCCTGACGAAGTCGTTGAGCATCCCTCTGTCGGCCAGGCCTTGCAACTCGGTCTTTAGTTGATAACAGTCGGTTGTATGGTGTCCCATCTCTCGGTGAAAGTCACAATATCGATCCAGATTCCGTTCATTGGGCTGCCCCCTCATGGGGCCCGGCCACCTGATGTGATACCCCTTCTCCTTGACGTGCTGGAGTATGTTCTTCAGCGTGTCAGTGTACTCAGTGAAGGTTCCCGCTCCCCTGGGCGCCGGGCGTCCAGCGTCCATCCTTCTCGGTGGGGGGGATTCGAGGGCGCATACCCTGAACCGCTCGGAGGGTGCGGCCTCCTTGCCATCTCAACCTCTTCCCCTCTGGTCTTCCGCATGTCTGCCCTCCTGGCTGCCAAAGTTTCTTCGAGCATGATCACCTTCTGCACCCTGCGATCCAGATCTTCGGTACACACAACGTCTCTTTTTGCCAGCGACCTGCACAACTCCTCGCTGGTGGTGCATTCGTTCAGGCATACTCCCAATACCGACGGCTGCGCATCTTTCACCCCCAAGGCCACAGACAGCCACCTCTCATAAAACTCCCTCAGCGCCTCTCCATCTCTTTGCTTGACCTTGAACAAGGCGCCTATGGTCAGGGTGCGACGCTTCCTGCTGGCGAACTTTGCCAAAAACATCTCCGCAAATTGCTCAAAGCACTCGATGCGCCCTTCTTCAATCTGGTCGTACCAGTCGAGGACCACGCCCGCAAAAGTTGACGGAAACACTTTGCACAGGGTGGCGTCTGTACTGTTGTAGAGCTGCATCTTGGTGAAGTATCCATTGAGGTGGTCCTCTGGGTCAGCGGTCCCATCATAGGTGGGGAGCGGGGGAATGTTAGTCCCCGCGGGTTCCATCAGTATGTTACGCGCCAAAGGCTGTTTCACGGGGCCGTGACGTGACAGGCGCACCAAAATTCATCTGTTCCAACCTCCTGCGTCCGACCCTTCATACTCTCGTGGGCGCCACAAACTGGGGCGCCTCTGGTATCCCGACTCACTTTCTGTCTCCGCCACCCTTTCTCTTTTCTTCGTCGAGCTGGGCGTCATCCCTCAGCCCCTTTTTAAAGCGTCGACCTCCCTTCGAAGTGCCTCAATCGCTCCGTCCTGGTCTTCGATGATTCTAAACAGCTTTTTTTTCGTCACCGAGGCGCCTTCCGACCCTCGGAACATGCCATCGCTTTCCTCAACTTCCTCCATCTCGGGCGTCATCCCCCTTAACCGCTCCGACTGGTCCTCCGTAATCTCCTCACTCATAACTCCCAGTTATATTCCCCTACCTGGCGCGCCAATTGTTTGTGCCACAATACCCGCCGATACCCCCGAAACCTCGCTTCGTCTGGCGCCTGCCTACGCACACACACAAAGAGGAGGGCGCCTGGGCCCGTTAATCCTCCGACGCCCAAGTTAGTTCCTTAGAGAGGGAAGTGTCCCGAAATAGGAATTTTAGTGAGAGAGTCCAACCTGTGTAAATGCTACCAACTGCCCCTATTTATACTCACCGAACTCGAGGTTGATCTCCTCCACGTCACTGTCCCAATTTAATGCTCTGTACTCTCTTTGTCAGACATCTCAACTGCCTTGTCAGGCTTCTGACGCGTGACAGGTGCCCGCAGGCGATGGACCACCTGACAGCCTGGTCTCCTTTGGCCTTTAGCGTTTTGTCCTTATGCGCCCTTCCTCCTGTTTGGGCCTTGAGGTATTTCTCAGGACCATTTTTGGGCCTTGCCCCCCAATTCTGTTGCCTGGGGCCCAGATCCCTATTTGATGGGTAGTACCCCCAACATAGCTTTTGTAATTACAGCACCCTGCAGCATTCACATCTGAATTTTCAACCCTAAACGATTTCTTGTAAGAACTCGCCACTTTGCTCAAGATTTGATTTGTGCCAGTTACAATGCTGCCATCACCAGTTATAAGCTTCCTTACTGATTGCTTGGAGTTTCTGATTCTCAATGACTGATGAAAAAATCTTGTACTGATGCCTCTGTTTCAAGTTTCAACCCCTCCATTCTTCTCTATGGGAGGGCTTCTGGCAGCCCATTTGGTTTCTCGCAAGAACATGTGGACCTGTAGAGGTGCTTAACCCCTCTTCCTTTCTGCTTGGTGTGCTTAGTTGTCTCAGATTGGATTGCTTCAGTCTTGACAAAGCTTCATCGAATTCGACCGACCTTTGTCCTTGGCCGTGTCATATACATGGATGCTTTCCATGAAGCATGTCCTCAAATGCATGCGACATCTTAGTCTCCTTTCCTTTGTGCCTCAATATGTATTTCAACTCATATCTGGTATCCGAACGAGCCAAGTGCCAGCCAGATTTAGAAAGCTCCTACCTTTGGATTTTTGCTGTCTTGAGAAACAGAGATCCAATGATCATGAACCCGCATAAGAAAGCACATTGGCAAAGAAAAAAACCCAGCTGGCTAAAAGTTCCAATTTTGTCGCTTACAAACCCCCACATGCAGAAAGAAAAACTCAGAAAGTGCAGACCATGTAAACTGCCATCTAATGAAAAAGTTGACAAACCATCATGTGCAAGAACATGAACAATGCCCCCAAAATGTTCAGACATTTCATTCAATTCAACCTTGTCACTTTACCCCACAAGGAAGAAGAATAAGAAGAAAAGAAACAGGAGATAAAAGCACCTACCTCACCCTTAAAATCACCGAACCCACAAATAACAACAAAACTTTAAGTTCCTGCTTATTTACATGAAGCTAATTCTTCACGTTTTATTCTTGTTTACTACAACGATTTCATACAATAACATTCCTGTTGCGGAACACAAGGGAGAAACGAACATAAACAGCCTATGTATTTTCGTCCATTCCCACATCGTTTTTCCTTGTAAGCTAGCTACATTTGCGCTGCTTTCTTTGTTTTGCAGTATTATAACAACGAAACCTGTAATCCAGACATTAGGGGGAAGAAACCCTGTAAAAATGTACCGAAGCTAGGCCAAGACAAGAAAGATGACATAATTTACACTCCTTTATGGAATTTTATGTCTGTCTTCTCCACGGGCTGAACATCAAAGAGGCTTTTTGCTCCGGTAGATGAATAAATTCAATGCTATACTTTTTGGGAGAAGTGCTGACCAAATACTCACAGAGACTAGCAAAAGATTAAGTAGTTCCATCACCATACATCTCTCAGATAACGCCCATCCATCTGCAACTTCTTAACCATAGACTCCGTCTTCGACGAATCCAACCCTCCCTGAGAAAAACGCACACACATACAGAGGTCATAGATTAGAAACAAAAAGCTCAGTATCAAGGGGGGGAAGGTTCACTCAGCCACTTGTTTGCCAAATACTTAATTGACTGCCCCAGTTACCAATGGAAGTAAACCAAGCAATCCAGATTGGATGTTCCACCAAACTATTAATTTATTTATCCTAGTATAGTGAAGCTAAGAAGGTATGATTCTGCCAGCGAAGATATGATTTGCCATTAGCAAGCATCCACTCAAAAAAGAAAATCAAAACAAGAACATGGTATGGTGAGTACCTGTTCCTGGACAATGTTGTGCAAAGAGCGATGAACATCTCTTGCCATCCCCTTGGCATCACCACAAACATAAAAGTAACCCCCCTGAGAAAGTATGCTCCATATTTCTGCAGCCTGCAAATTGCATTCCAGGGTTTGCACAAAAAAATTATTATGTGTTCATTAAATTGATGGAAAAACTCTATCTGCCCCCAACTTACTTTATCTGCCATCTTATGTTGAACATACTCCTTCTGTGGGCCCTCCCTTGAGAAGGCAACAATGAGTTCAGAGAGTGCTCCTTGTTCCAAGAATTTATTTAGCTCCTCCTCGTATATAAAATCCTACATATGAAGCAGTTTGGAATCGATGAGTTTCAAGACTAAATAACACTGATTATAAAATGAATGGACAAGTGATCACCATCCGTCGATTTCTGCAACCGAAGAACAGCAAAGCAGTGCCAAGCTGATGGCCCTCCTCTTTCAGAGCCATTCTTTCCTGGAAAAATAAGATGCAATATTGAATATTCAGGTTCTGCTTTACATAGAGCACACATATGTGTGTGTATATAGCACATCAAACAAGGAGAAATTTCAACCTGCAAAAAACCCCGGAAAGGTGCCAATCCAGTACCCGGTCCCACCATGATAATCGGAGTAGATGGGTCAGCTGGTAACTTGAAATTGGAGGTCCTGATAAAAACAGGAGCCAAGCTACAATCTTGGCTTCTCTCAAGAGGAACAGCATGCTGTATAAAGAATGGCCATTACATAAATGTTGAATATAGCGAACCAGCTCTATGCCTCAAAGCAATGCATGTAAAGTAGAGCATAAGTTGGCATAACTGGCACATACCTTCATCCAGGTTGAACACACTCCCTTGTGGATTCTACCAGTTGGTGTCCGCTCATGCACTAAAGCACAGGTTACATGGACTCTATTGGGAGAAAATCTGCAGAGATATTAATGGACCCATGTTATAAATCTATAAACATTAGAGAATTGCAGTAGGAGAATACATTTAAGTAGCAGTTATCACCTATGAGAAGATGAGATTGAATAGTAACGTGGCTGCAGTCGAGGAGCCACTGCTGCAAAAAATACGCCAAGAGGAGGCTTTGCTGATGGGAACTCCGCCATTATCTCAAGGAGACTTCTTTGACTAGCAATAACCCATTGTGAGTATTCGTCCTGGAAGTGGAAGGTAGAAGTTAACAAGAGTCCAAGCACAACACAAACATGGAAGAGCCACGATGGAAACAACAGTGATCAATAGTGTATTCACCTTCCCCTGTGGCGAAGATAAAAATCTAAGTCTCTCTGCCTCACTTGGTTCACTTGCATGAGCAGCCAACGCAACCAAAGCAGACTGATGACATACCACAATCAAAAGAAAATTACAGATCCGTCACCACTTCATCTATATATAAGTGCAAAGGGGGTTTAAATATGATGAGAAACGTAACCTTTCGTGGAGAGTTCAAGAGGTCAGCGTAATGTGAAAGTGCCAAGCGAAGAGTGCAAGGACCTGGGAAGGGAGGTGCCAATGAACCTCCTAGGGGTGTCCCATCTTCTTTGTCTGAATGAATAGAGAACAACAAATCTAAGGGTTGACCCAATAACTTCCCAGCTTCTTCAACAATGTCTTCACAATTCTCAGCATAAACACCCACATGATCTCCAGTTTCATATCTGAGAAACAGGTATATATCAAAGCCCAGTTTAGTAAGAGTAGCAAATATATTTTAACACTCTTATCAAGCAGCAGAAAGAAAGAACAGCGGCGTAGGATGGTAATAACTAATAAGTCAATTATGAAAAAGGAAGCAGAACAATCAAACAAATGCAAAAAGCCTGTGCCAAAGCAAGTCACTTTTACAGCCCCTAAAATGAAAAAAGAAGGTTGGGTGCAGTACATTCTCTTTTAAGAGTTTGATTTGTCTAGAATCCCAACCAGGAATCTGTAAATGCAGAAAAGGTGTAGCTGTTGCTTTAGCTTAACCATTAGTATCATAAAATCTATTAACTTACGCAATAGGAGTGCCCGAAATGTCAAACTCCAAATGCATGCAAGACCTGTCGGACTCTGTTGAGTGGAGCTCTCTTTGTACAGCAACATTGACTCTATGAAAAGCAAAGAGTATCATCGTTTTTAGTAGGAACAAACAAAAATACATGATTACCAACCAATTTTCTCATTGCTTGATACCTGCACGGATGGTGAATATCAAAAGAAGTATTGCCATTTGCCAAGTTCCCAAACTTGTCCTCATAAGATGTTATAGGAGCATGAATAACTAAGCGGTATTCTTGTATAGCTGCCATATATGGCGTAGATGCAGTATTGACATCATCTTCATCTCTGAGTAGCTGATCCAACTCTGACCATAGTAATTCTTTCCTGCAGGGGAACAAGAAGAAATACATTAAAACTGTTATCCCACAATAAAAGACTGAGAAAGGTATACACTCAAATAAAAAGCTCATGCTCCATATCAAGTCAGGGACTACGGCAAACAATAAGCAAAGAATTTCTTGAGGATTAAAACTGAAGCTTGTGTACCATGCTGTAAAATCATCCTCGATGCATTGATCATCATCACCTAGGCCAACTGGAACGAGTTGCTTGCCACCTAAAGCAACGAATTATTAGAAACAATCTATACCAAAACAACGAGACAGCTTAAAAACGAATTAGAAACGAGACGTGACAATGTTGAAAGAAAATCATAAACTTTGAATCTTCTCTCTTCCCTAGGCTAATTAGGATGGGATAGGGCTACATACAGCCATGATAATACATACTGAATTTCAATGGTAAGATTGCAGAAATTGGTGCAAATTCAATGAACATAATCATATTCCAATTGAGAAGTTCTAAAACAAAAAACAAATGGGATGCTGGACCTCATCTGATGTGTACGAAAAGATAGTGCTTCATAAAGGAAATCATATTAAAACACTGAGCCATACCTTGTTTACAAAGTTCTTCATCAAGGACGACTGCAATCTATTTTACAGATATATCGTATCAGTTATCACTGACAAATAATTGCTCATTTTGAAAAAGAAAGAAGAACCAGTGTAAATATTGAAGCTACGGAATGTCATCAAATCATGGGAATCCATTTGCATATAAAGAATCAGCACGCTAGATTTACCTTATTAAAATGTTCATATTGACGATTACCCAAGCCAAAGACACCAAAACTGAGCTGTGGAAGCCAAACACCTCTTTCATTTTCCTGAAAACAAATTCAAGGTTCAGCAAAAAGACATAAGAGTCCAAATCCAATAACGCAACACTTCAAACTGTTCACCATAGCACTCAATGAAGTGACCAACCTCTGTGAACCACTTATAAAACCGTGCGGCATTATCTGTTGGTTCCCCATCACCATAACTACAATAAAAGGTTCAAAATAGTGAATTCCTTGTTCATACCAATAACTTTAAAACTAATGGATAAATAAAATGAAAGAATCAGAAGTAGAAGTCTCTTACGTAGCCACCATAAAGAATGCCAAAGTCTCCTTTTTCAATTTTTCTTCGTACTGATCATCATCCATAGCATAATCATCCTGATTCAAGAATACGGAGCAATATGTTATCAATTCCTAGATAACCAAAGATCTAGGACAATATGCACCTCCCTGCACAGCTGAATTACACTCACCAAGTCAACAACTTTGACAGCCGCCTTTTCATATCTTGCCTTGATCTCATCAGCTAAAGCCTGCATTATAGTTCGATGAGAAAACAATCAGACACAAAATTCACTGCAGTGAAGAATCATCAAAGCATCAAGGATAATAACAATTTTATTTCTTAGACATTTCACCAAACAAATACAGAAGAAACAATAACACAACCCTTAGAATGGCAATTCAATCCATTTATATGAAAAAGTAACTAACAAATATCATGCCTAAGAAGTTGAATAATATTGCCAACTGCATGCACTCGCCCCACTAGATTCAAGACAAACCTAACATCAAACGAAACCCCTAAACTAACACGAATAGTAATAAAAGGTTTAAGGTTCAATTGGCACTCCAGTTCACAATGAGGCAGTTGAAAATGAAGGCACCAGGTCAGACCAGCAATTCGCAAACCGAACAGAAGACCATGTCCCCATGACAAGCTAGAGAATCGGGTAAGGATACCAACTCAAGAACTCAGCTTTCCCTCAACCGGTAAATAGCTCAATTCGAAGTCTTACTACTAACTTACTAAGCCCAAAACAGGTTTTAACTAATTTCCAGATAATCAGCAAGTCCTGGACTTTCCGACCAGTAGAGATCATCACCTCAAACACAATACAATGGCACATCCCAGACCAACATATTCCAATGACTTAATTGCCAATCCTCAATTGATAAAAATACAAGAAGACACTATGAAAGCAAAGTCAAATTCCTTGAGAAAAACCTTGATCTTCAACAAAACAAACAATTACCTTAGCGAACCCTTCGGCGGTTCCAGTCTGAGTACCGTAAAAGATGGTGAGCTTCGTTTTGCCGGCCAAGGCATCGGACTCGTCCTCTTCCTCTTTCAGTGAATACGGCTTCGTTATCACCACCGGCTTCACCTCTTTACTCCGATCCGATGATCTCTTCCATAGGAAGACTACCAACCCCACAATCACAGCGAGAGAAGTAGTGAGGACCAGAACCACAACGTCCGAGGAGGCGCCGCCGAGCGAGACTCCGAGAGTCGACTCCAAGAACCGCACCAAATCTGGAGCGCTGGAACTCATGGGTAAGATAAGGAAAACCAATCGAACGATAGATGAATGAGGTCAGCTCGCGCCCTGCTCAATCGGACCGTTACGTGCGCTCCGCCGGCCCGGTCCCCGTCGGCTCGGCGAAGATTTAGGAAAACTAGGGGAGACTCAATTTCTGCGCTTCCTAAGTTCGCTCGGGCTATATCTCTGCTTTGCGCTGGATGTAATATAACCCTAGAGCATTGGAGATGGGGGTGGGTGAGCAGAAGGGAAGTTACAGAGACAGTTAGAGAGAGAGAGAGCGAGAGCTAGAGAGAGAAAATTGCGGGGAGAGTAGACGAAATACAGATGGAGTATTGCAAAAGGTAGGTCCCACTTAGACTGGGCGGAGGTTGTTCTTGTTCGGGTCGCCCACCTCACCTTTTACTATTTTCATATTTTTTCTAAGAAATAGTGATGACAATTTCCGATCTCACAAGTACGATCCGGTTCGACTTGTGATATGTATTATTTGAAGGGTAAATACAAATATACAATATAATAACTAAATTTTTTGATTTAAACAAAATAATAATCAAATCTTTTCGAAAACAAGTTAATAGTCAAACCATCAACTTTTCGTAGTTGACTATGACGTGACAATACATGCTGGCGTGACTGAAAGTCAATAAATTAATTATGCCACATAGATATATCTTAATACTTATTAAACATATAAGATGGTTACTGTTGCATATGAGAAAAGTTAAAACGATAATTGGGTTCTAATTTATAAATGTCAGACCAATTATTATTAAACACGTGACTATTTTTATACCTTTCTTTTTCTCCTGGAGTTCCGTTGCTCTCCATTTACGCTTGGGAGAACCTTAGTCATCCATCTCCTACTACTTTCTTAATAATTTTTTTGTCCTTCTTCCTCTATTGTGCTTTCTCTTCATCCAATCTTCTTCTTCGAACAGCATCATGCAAGACAGTTGTTTTCTGACGAGGAAAACTCTGGTGTTGATTTCAATTAATGCACCTTGACTTCTTGAACAACGATTCTAAAATAACACCTCTCCAAACAATGTTCGAACGAGGGTATTTGACATAGTGTGTCAAATGTTTGGTTGTGGAACCCTTGCTTCGTTTTCGTTTCTCCTATTTATAGTCATCCTTGTAACTATCGTGTAACCGCCTTTTGGTAATCGTAGCTCCAGTGCTTGATATATCTTGCTTGACGCCTTGACTGTCTTGTGTGCTTGCCACTTGATACCTTGCACCTTGATGACTTCACTTGATATCCCATTGTGTCATGGAGGTGTCTTTCTTGGTGAGTGATGGCTTCGCGCTTGATAGTACTCGTGCTAACCACCCTGACATGATGTCATGCTCGACACTAGGGTGCTTGGGGGTTTGATGGATGCTCACTGAACCCCTTGAGGGTGACATCATACTTGTAGGGTTTTGACAAGGTGATCTACCATGTGATGATATACATGGTTAACACTTAGAAACCTCAAGATCTTGTCTACTATGTACCATAACATGCCAGCTACTTGTGATGATAATGGCTCCGCTTGGGTACTTGAGATGTGAGTGTCAAAGCAATACCCCCTAGCACACGGTAGATAGTCAGCCATGGTGCTTGATGCTTGACCCCCTTGCACGACATCATGTTGGACCCCCTTGGATGATGTTATGCTTGACACCCTTGTGGTTGAGTCTCAACGCTTAGCCAAATTTTGCCTTCTTCTCCAACCATGTCTAGGGGTAGTTGATATCACCCTCCTTGCACTACATCTTGCTTGATACCCGAGTGCAAGATAGGTAGGTAGGCGGCCATGGTACTTGGTACTTGACCCCCCCTTGCATGACATCATGCTTGACCCCCCTTGTGCTTGGGCCTCAACAGTTAGCCAATTTTCGCCTTCTTTCCCATCACGTCTAGGGGTACTCGACATCATACTTGTTACCTGAGTGCAAGGTAGGTAGGCGACCATGGTACTTGGTGCTTGACCCCTTTGCATGACATCATGCTTGACCCCCCTAGTATGATGTTATGCTTGACCCCCCTTGTGGTTGGGTCTTCATACTTAGCCAAATTTCTTCTCCACCATGCCGACTTGGGTGGTTGATGTTGAAGGGTGTCAACGTTTGGCACTTGACCCCTCTTGCATGACAGGTGGGTGAAGTGGTGTGTGTTGATGTATCTAGTATGAAACCCAAAATACCATCATTTAGGCCCAACTTAAACCAATTTAATTAATATGGTTAGGTTGCCTTTATAAACCACTACCCTCCTTGAAAATAATTAATGTGGTATCAAGCGATTTTTTTAGTGATAAACAAATGCCCCAACTACTTAGTGCATAAGGATTATGGACTAAGTAGTTAAACATTAACTACACCACTAAAAAATGCTCGTTGGTTTTATTAATAAAACCCAAAAAGCACTGAACCACCCTTGCACCTTATTCAACCGTAATTAGCATTGGCCTTGAAAATAAAAAGGCCAAAATCAATCACTATCTCCACTATTCTATCCCAACAAACCACGCATGTAATGGCTAGTTACTCAAGTCATGCTTCATCAAGAGGGTATCATGTTATGCCTTAACGGTGAACCCGTTGAGACCCTACGTCCCAAAGAAAAAGGACATAAGGATTGAGATACTTGTCATTCTTCAATTGATTATGTAGCACTGATGACTCGATATTTGCACATGTTTTCCCCTTTGTTTCTTGATCATTTAAGCTTGCATTATCGCTTCTTTGGCCTATTTTACGCTAGGTTGTGTTCCTTTGTCACATTTCAGGTCCTAGCACATAAAGTGAAGCGTAGGCGCAAGTTTCAAGTCAATCAGAGATCAATTGGCGACTCGGGGGGAGAAACTCGGGTATGACTTGAAGAAGAATGGATTTCTATCTCAGTTTGTGACCATATAATCATGTAATCTTGTCATGATAAGAAAGAGGACGAGACTGCGAGCGTCTGGGATCAAACGGCACCTGATTTGGAGTCCGAACGAGGGAGAAACGAAGAATCAAAGATAGGGGACCCGAAACTACAAAATACCCGACCATAATACCCTACCGGGTATTTTTGGCCATCTGATAGGGGATTTTTGGCAGCATCAGAAGGCCCCCCGGTCGTGAACCAAAAATACCCGACCGGTACTAAAAATACCCGAGCGGGTATTTTCCCTTTTGCCCAGAATAGTGACCCGGAGCATTTTGTTGATACCCGACCGGTTCCCTAAATACCCGACCGGGTATTCTGACCAGGGATCGCGAAAGCAGGCTGTTAAAAGCCTGTTTTGTGCGTTTTCTCAAGGGAGAGCTGGGTTTTGGATCCCAAACACCCAAGGGACGAACCAAAGAGAGAGAGGGCGATTTGAGGGCATTCTAAGAGTGGAATTGGAGGATTTCTTCGCCTTGGAAGCTCGAGGAACAAGCCCGGACTTGAAGACTGATCATCTGAAGATTCTTACTGCAGTCTCTCTCTTCTCTATGGAGTAACTTCCCTTCACTTAGGTTTTGAGGAACCCTAGCTATGTTTGTTTGATTGGATGATTGTATGAGTACTCTGACTTGATAACCTTGAGTTCATATTCAATCTATGCATGTTTTGATGATCAATTCTGCTTTAGTCGAGATTATTGATTCTGCTTTGATCCTATGAGAGCGAATACCTGATTAGGTCAATAGAGCACCATAGATTGATAGTATTGGATCGATTGCTTTAGTCGAGGGTTGATTCACTGCTTTGTATCGATTGAGAACCTCTTTCGATAGAGGGAGTCTAGTTCAGAACGCCTTGATCGGTTGTCCTAGAGAAGGATACGTCCCTCTAGGCAATTGACACAAGAGGGCCTTGTTCCTTTAGTCGAGACTCAAGGTCTAGTCAAGGATTCTCCGCATTGTGAATGAAAGTGAAACAGGTTAGATATCATCAATCATTAATCTGGCTAGTGGCTAGGGGGAATCATACCTAAGTGAGTTCCCAACCTGTAATTAGATTAACTTTAACAGTAGTTTGCTAGAGTAGTTTTAGTTGTTCTATCTTAATCTGGTTTGCTAGATAATGAACTGAAGCTGAGTAATAGTAACTCTAGAGACCCGTGGATTCGATATTTATTACTTGAGCCACTATACTGCAGTCCCTTTCATTGGTTACACTTGGCCATTGTTAGGAGTTGTGTCATAGCGAGTCAAGCACTCCATCCTCTTTCAACGAGTGGGCATCCTTAGATAGGTGGCATGGAAGGTACACGATCCATGAAGGACAACCAGTAAGCTACTTATGCCATGAAGTGGCATGGTATATCCACCACTAAACGAGCGTAAGAGGCTCCATATCCCCAGATACATGACTCGTTGTTTACCAGTCATGGCAAGGTCCTCACATAGCAATTATTACAACCCTGGATTTTTTTTAGCCAAGACTGGCTTGTGATTTTCTTTTTTCTTCTCTTATTTTACTAGTATTTTTTTAATTATTTTAATCAAGTAGGGAGTGATAAACGTCACTTCTCTCCATACCCTTTGACAACCACCAACGTGCCAAAGGTGTACACCCACTGCCAAGACCATGGATTAAACCAGACAAGCCATCTGTACACCACATGTCTGCTCTCCTTAGAAAGAGATGGCTCCTTATCAGTTGGCTTTGAATTCCCCAACTCAACCATGGACTTTGCCCGATCCACTTGTCTTGTGTTGGTGGCCTTGTAGGGGGTCTCATGATCCTCTGCCTTAGCCACCTTACTAGATATGTTGAGTTGATGTTGAACCTGATGTGCTTGCCTCATTCCGGGTGGTGCACTAAACATCTTCAATTTACTCGAGTCATCAACAAGACAATGAGTTGTCATTTGCCTTAGTTTCCCCCAACTTGACACCTGCTTACTCTCCCCACATGGTTGGGAAGATGAGTATTTGGCTTAACAACTTGACAACCACTTTTGAGGCTAACTTGACTTTCAACCCCTATGCCTCGTTGGTTTTTACACTTAACACATAACCACCCTTGGTCTGTTGTAACACCATGTCTGGTTAGTGTGTTTCGAGATGTCTTTTCTTGCCCCATTGCTTTTCATTCATGTTAGGCATGCCATGGGGGCTGTTAAGTATGGACTTACCTCCTTTGACACCATTCATATCTGGCATGCCATGAGAGCTGTTAGGTAGGGACATGCCTCTTTGTGTATTCCTCAACACACTCTCGTGATGGTGAAAAACGTAGAGGGATTGAGTGTAATGAACACTCCTAGACTTGCTCCCCACTCGTTTCTTCACTTTCGGTGACATGCCCTCCTGTCCACTGGTTGGAGACATGCCCGCCATACCCTTGCTCATGGTTGTTGATGTGCCCATTTTGCCATACTTAGCCATATTAGTATGCTTACTAAAAGCA